ATAAATATTTTTACGCATTGCTAAAATTCACCGACTTTTATAAAAATTTCATTCAGCCGAAGAGGTAAAAAACAATCATCTATGTTTTGGGGCTCTCGGTTAAAATTTTAACTAAATAGTTTGCTATAGGAATACGAAAATACATAAGTTGAACATTTTGTGATAAAAATGTTTGGATGTGTAATTATGCTACGAGATTGCTGGGTTTAAGGGTGGACAATAAAAACAAAAATAAAAATTTTTCTTTATCAACCCACCTAAGATACTTATGAATCCATTGATAGTTAATGAAAGTTTAATAACCTTGATATCAAAGAAACATACCTCTTTGATGCATAGCTTAGATATGTAACTTTTGCACGAAGCCTAAGAGCCTAACGTAAAACTCATCTAGGGTTATCCACATGTACCCTAATGGAATTAAGAAAAGACTAAAATCCTCTAGTCCTAGCTTTGAGGTGTTCTAGTTTAATCTCTACTTATGGTAATAGACCTAGTTCTACAATGAAACATGAGATGATAAATAATTTTCTACGCTTCTATTTATACAAATAAGAGTTATGGAGAGAATATGGTATGGTAATTCTAATTTAATTTGAATTTCATAAACTTAGTCTTCAAGTCAAGGAATAAGAAGAATTGCCACACACTGGTCCAACTAGGTGTACTGCCTAGGGCACTCTTGCCCTAGGTGGTGCGCTGTTTCAGCCTTCTAGTCTAATAAATACTTAATTGCCACTTTTAGACATTTTTATCCTTAAGTTTAAATAAATCCAAACTTGAATTATCTAAGATTGATTAATTTAATCTTTTTATCAATTTATTTTTTGAATTGATTAATTTATTTCTCTTGTGAAAATTTTATCTTCACATAAATTAATCCTTTATCCATAAACTTGAATTCTAATTATTCTATATAATGTACTATTATGTGTGTAATCCTCTAAGTTTTTATCTCATTGTTGGGAAGTTGCCCAACAGACCATAAAGGTATGTATCAATGTCTTGTGACCACCCAAGCTGATAGAAATGTCAATGGTTTTGACAAACCTTTTTATAACTGATATATTTATGTAATTTAATCCTTTCATCATAGGTATCTCAATTAAGCAAGATATATGCTATTTGTTAACATCCTTAAAACTTGATGTATTTTATTTGGCTCTCAATATAAACTAACTCAATGAATGAATTCCTTTATTCCCATTGTGGCCACAAACTTTAAGTTATCCTATCTCAATTAAAGATATCTTCACCCATTAAATCGAGAGGGATCCCATCTTGACTCATTCATTATTTTTATGCGATTTATGATGCACTCAATAACTATGTTACTCATGATCCCTCCTAGTGACTTTTTTTAACAACATCAAAGTACATGAGTCGTTATATAAAATAATAATGATTTCAAGTAAAAAATTTGCTTACACTTGTGTCATAGACAAGGCACTGCTATTAATGTGCACATGTATTGTTTTTATGGCAAGTCAGTCTAGTGCATTTATCTTCTTTGAGCCACCCAAATGTGAGACATGACTTTGTGAGAAAAAATCTTGCCACCTTGCCAAGCCTTACTATAAGTTAATCTTTATATTAATTGATATCTCATCTCAGTAATTTATATGATTAATGGACAATTTATGAACATCACTATCATATCATATGGTTTTTGCTAATAGAAATGGCCAATGGTTGTTGTTATCTTTTAATGTAGCAAACATTTCAAGAACTTTATCAATATTTCATAGAAGAATAATAATTAATATTTGATAAAGAATGTTATAAAAATATTTTATAAATATAATGAGTGTAATCTCATGTATATAAATGATGTCAAATTTGTTCACTTATAGGGCACACTTTAACATTGATAGGTGAGACTTACCTAAGATCTACACATTATATCTTATTTATTTTATAGTTATGATAGAACATTCTGGTACTTCTAATATCCTAACTTTTTATTTTTAAACAATAATTGGTATACTCTTAAATTCAACACACATTAACAAATTATTATTTTCAAATTTGAATTAAAGATGAGAAAACTTAAAGTTGTAGATTTTAATGACTAAATTAGTTGACATTAAAATATATATTGAATTAAAGGTATACCAATTATTTCCTTCATTTTCTCTATAGTAATATATAGTTTTAAATTGTTGAAAAGGAAAGTAAGAACCCATTAAAGAAACAAAG